AGTCTAGTTCTCTACATCATTCATATAATCTTGGCATATGATTGGTTTATTGTCATGTGATTTTAAAGGGCATGCCCAAATTTTTAGCCATGCCCTAAACCCTAATTGCCAGTGAATACAACGATTGTTTATTTATTCGATAGATTTAATTTATTATTGAATTATATAAGTATATCTTTTATAAATCATATTTAATTAAGCCTTAGCGAATATAAGTATATTTATTAAACCTTTGTGAAAAGATAGAAAAAAAAGTAAACTAAAAATAGAAATAGGCCAATGGATAAATTAATGATTACATAATCTAACAATAAATGCCTCCAGATGATCAATAATCTTTTTATTCAAGGCTATCCGCGATAGTATTAATGTCAAATATTTCAGAAACTATCAAAATTGCAGTAAGACCATCACAATTAGCCTTTACTGTAATAGAAGGAAAATGGTTTTTCAGTCGTTTTTCTATCGCACTAACTATCCTTTCGTTATTCAATAGTGCATAGGCTTGTTTAGCAAATTCACCATGCCAATTTCCGATTGAAAATGGCGTGCAATCAGAATAACCGCCACTTACAGTATACTTAACTGAGACTTTTGAAATAAATCTGCTTGTCGCTTCGTTAATAAAAGGTATCATTTTTTCGCAAAATTTGTCGACAATTGTAACACCTTGTTGTAAATTACGAGCAGCACGTTTTTCAGAATTAATGGGGATCTTAAAATATTCTATTTCCAATTCTATTGCCCGTTTGGAAACAGGAAATTCTTTAGACTTGGATATTTCATCATTCCAGAGGATTTCACCAGTACGATAATATTCTAGAATGTAATAAAAAGCATGGCCATTTCGATCAATAAAATACTCGCTACCACCGGGATAAATTGGTTTAAGTGGTTCAGGATTTTTAGGATTAAATAATTTTCCTAATGTTGTTTCAGGATGAGCAATTAAAGAATTACGAATGGTTTCGAACTAAATAAAATTAAATTAATTTCTTATTTAAAATTTTTAATGTATTAATTTTAAAAATGTCTTGGGGGCTTACTTTAACGCCACCAACATTTAGGATTATTATTTCATCGTCCATTTCGTTTTTTATGACAGTATTTTTAACGTGCTCCAGCAATTCATCCATGCCTATCATTTATAATTAAAAAAAGTCTCATTTATAAATCTTTCACTTTAATGAGATTTCAATAATAAAATATAACGATAGAGTTATAGGATAGGGCATGTAGCAGTTACACAATACAAGCAATTGGTCATGAACACAAATTTTGCCAAGAAAAACGTGTAACTCGTATTTTTTGAAAGCTTAATCCGGTAATTTCTAAGGTTAATTAGTTGTGAACCATATATAGATATACTACAAGTTGTGCAAAAGCGAAACATTACGTAAGCTATTCTTGATTGTGATCCGATTACTTATAACTCTAGTCAAATTTGCAGGACATTTGGCCAGATTCAGAATTTTAAACTTGCCAAACGATTGGTAAATTCAACTAGAGTTATAAGTAATCGGTTCTGCAATCAAGATTAGCCCTGAACTTCTTCAAAAATAAATGCTACGGACAATTGTTTGTGTGATCATAACAAATTTATTACAAATTACTAACGCAAATGGAAAGCTTTACTATTTTTATAATAGTCTTTTTTTTTTTTTTACGTTTACTTGCCAGTTTTAAATTACTTTATTTTTGGTTATAATTCGTATCATGCATGTACGTACGTACAAAAGTTCATTCAACCAAATAAGCGATTTGAAATTAACATGCTTTTTGTAAGAAATTTTTTTTTGCGTCAACATTTTTCACTTTTACAAAACAAAAAATTGTATATTCAATATAACTATATTTAGTAAATATTTTCAAGTAACGACAATTTCAAAATATTGTATTTGTTGGTTACACGTTCTTAATTCAAGTCGGACACACACATGCACGAGAGTAATTTTTTAATATAATATATATTTGCTTAGTCATCTAAATCAGAAAAAAAATTCTAATAGATTAATGATTAGTTGCTTCGAAGCTTTTAAATCGATTTTTTTTCAACTTGCCAACTTTGATTAATAGATTTTTTTATTCGTATCAAGTATTATTTATCGAATTCAGCCCCTGATTTGCGACATATATTACACAGTCTGGTTTCCCCTTTGCACTGTATGTAGGGGTTGAAATTTACGTAAGTTATTTTAACTGACGTAATTTTAAATTTAAGTAACGTAAAGTTACATGTAACTTACGTAAGTTAAAAATTTTTTTATGAATTATCTTACCCTAGAATCATTCGGATATTTTCTGTAACTTACATTAGAGTCATGTAATTTACATCGTCAGGTAAGTTACCCCATCCCTAAATGCATGTCGTTAAATTTTTCAGGAGCTGAGTACAATACAGTAATAACAAATAATAAACTTAAAATGCAGTGTTTACTAATTTCCCAAACTTCATTATCGGAGTATATACCATAAAATTGATTAATAACATAGACATTCCGATCTGTGAATAACTAGGAGAACTAATCAGAAATGTGGAGAAATTAGTAAACTCAATGCAATGCATGGTTTGTCTTTGGCATCAGCTATATGTTGTATTAGAGTCATGCTTCATAGTCTCACGGAAATAATAGAAATATTTAGCGCTAAATATAGCTTAATTTTGAATTTGACAACTTTTTAGGCGCCAAAAATAAAATACAGTCGGTCCTCCCTAAATGCATCCCCCTAAGTGCATGACCTCCTTAAATGCATATCAATTTTCTGGCCCAAATATATACTAAACCCTATAAATGCATTTTTTCTTATTGTTCTCTTAATGCAAGCCCCCAAAAAGTTCGGTCCCAACGATATGCATTTAGGGAGGGGTTGACTGTAGTACGTACGTACGTACTTCAATGATAATATGTGTTGCGGCTGAAGCTGGAAACGGCTGAAGCTGGAAATTTTAAATATTTTATTATGAAATTTTCAAAATTT